CCATTCAAGGAGTTTTATTGCACCAGAAGTTTTCAACACTTGTAAATTTACCCAGAAATCAGACATATATTCTTCTGGTGCTGAATCAGGCATCATTGGTCGCAGTCCACCAATAATATCACATGCTAAGTCCCTGTCAAATTCTCTATCTCTAAAAGGTGGTTCACCAGTAGCCATCAAATACATAATAATACCAAAAGAATATATGTCTGATTTCTGGGTAAATTTACAAGTGTTGAAAACTTCTGGTGCAATAAAACTCCTTGAATGGTTGAATTTGATTTATGTCCATCCACTAGTTGTGAGAGGCCAAGATCACATATCAATGTCTGGACATGTTCTGTCTCATCATAATCATCATCAACAATATGTACAAGACTGGTATATGTCAAAAGTACAGTATGTTTCCACCATGAAGATCACAATGCACTAATTTCACATGATGGATAGTAGCCAGATACTTTGCAATATCCCGCAAATGCTTCAATTTCGTGCACCATTTCAATTTGTTAATATTATGGTCTAAATAAGAAAAAAGATTACCATTGTCAGCATATTCCATAACAATCATGTATTCTTTTGTTTCTGGATCTTGTGTAAATCCATAAGGGTCAAGGAAAAGCTCATTATCAATTGAACACTTGACATGATTTCTGAACTATTAATAAAAACACCTCATTAACAAATAATTCTGGCCTTTGATCAAAATCCTTAAAGCGTTTTAATACAACAGTTTCTGACATACGTCCATGCCATACTTTTGAAACATTTTTATACCAAGCCATATAAACTGTTCCATAACCACCAACTCCAATCTCTTTGATTTCATCAAAGTCAGTATATGGCATATGCTCACCCATTACCATATCAAATTGTTTAACAAATTCATGTATGTCATAGTACATAGTAGGAAACCAAATAATAAACTTGAGTAGATGGATCTTGAGTAAGTCCAACTATCCAAATATTCTCAGGGGTTAATATTGTTGGGTAGTCTTGGGTTATCTATGTGAGATAATTTACCTGATCAAAATCAAGTGACTGAGTATCACCTATTTGCTTAAGCATCACTTTTGTCCCTCCATCTGCTGTTGGTTCCAACCATTTTGCTACAAGTGTGTGATGACATGGTGATGTTACCTCTTGCATATCTGTCAACAGGGAGTACTCTATCCATTGTATATAAGGATCCCACATGCTTGTCATATTTTTCCATGATTTCATAATAAATAAATCCAAAGACTTGTTGCCAGTTGTCCAATCAAAAGGTGTTGGTATTTTACATGTATAACAGAATGCTTTTATATTGGATTCTATTCGACGTGTACATGTGCATGCCAGACATAAACCATTCCCATTATATTCTTTTATTAGGCAATACATTTGCTTGTTTGCATCATATGTAAATCCAATAGTAATCCAAACATCTGTGGTAAGAATATCTGGATGCTCATTACATAACTAGTGAAAACCATACACAAGTCAATATTTATTAAATTAATTGATAAACAAATATATTCATATGAATTCACCTTTTCATAATATAAATCATCTGTCTCATCTGTTATTTCAAGTGGAGTCAATTTAATCCGTGCAGAAGCCACTAGTTTAATTGTGTCCATCTGAAGACGAACTTAAACTAGATAAATAAGATAATCATATGGAATCCATTCCAAATAGACATCATTTGCCGAGTTTGTTTGTAATTGAGACTTCTTGATAAACTCATCGAGTTGCTTATTGTTACTGGTCCATCCATTGGATAATTCTTTATGTCCGCATATGCACCACACTGGGCTACATCGGAGCATTCCACACGCGGAGCAGAATCCATAGAGAGAATAAAGATCGTAAAAGTCTCTATGAGCGACCATGTAGTAATTGTCATTATATTCAGTAAATCCATATATCCAGCCGTTGCGACTTTTTAGCCATGTGTAATATCGTCTAAAGCGACTAACATCATTATTATAATTGTGCGTTGGAAGTGAGTATATTCTAGCGAACTCACTCACAAGTGTTGCCGTACATTCTTCACTCCTTCCAAATAATAGAAGTACATAACATTGTTTTAAAGCATAATAGACGTTGTCAATTTGAGTTGGCTCTGTGTCGATAATATCTGGGCAAGATATCCATTCAAGTCTTAAGGATTTATCTTCGCTTCTCAAAGACGATTGTACTAAGTTGTCAATTGCTGGATTATGCATATTCCTGGAACTAACGACAATGATGACGACGACATCGTTTGAACAAGTACTGAAGTAATGGACCATAATTGTGTTACGTCGCACATTAAGACCGCACCAATAATTTTACAGATTTGATTGACGCTTTACGTTCAATAAATTTAACAGAAACGGATGGAAACGTCTGCAAATATACAGTTCAAAATTTACATAATCTATTAGATTGGATTTAACGACAAATGTAAATATTCTCTGAAAACTTACCTTCTCTGTTGGAGTCTCGTTAACTAAAGTGACAAAGTCCGTCAACAAGTTGTGAGATTAAACAGAGTCAGAAATGCAACAAAGAGAATAACGAACATGGCTAGTATTTTGCAAACAATTGACCCGTTAGAGAAGCAGATCGTTGTTAAACGTCTTATAATTAACTAAGCTAGATTCAGGTTTGCAGAGGTAACCGGTGTTAGACAAGGCTTTTGCGAGGCTAGAGTCCAGTCTGACCTAGAGTATGAAATGCATTCGAGGAGTGAGAACAGTTTTATTATTTGTCTGAGAATGCGGTACTAAGAGGCGATTATCTGCCAACAAACCATAAACAAATGGTCTTTTAGATATTCTCCTTTCAAATGGCTTTGCTGAACGTAGTTCAGTTATGTAAAGTTTGCTGAAAAGAAAAATCAACATTCTAATAAAGGAGATATATCGGAAAGGCGAATAACACTTTCCGGGAAAAATCCTGAATCGCGCATTTGAGAAAGATCACAAGCAATACGTCCACACGCTGGATAAACTACATTACACCAAAACATATAAAATATCCACTCCACATTTCGAAAAAAAAAAAATCCGTTTTGCACAGGGCATCACTTCCATAAAAATTTAAATTGTAATCTTCATTTGATAAATTTCTGTTAATTTTTATGCAGCAGTTCTGGGCAAAATAAACCAAAAGCTTTTGCTCTCACACAGTATATATTTAACTATTCCGTTTAACAACGAAAATCCTTTCGCCGAATAATTTCGTTAAATTTGACTTTTATTCTATGACGAATTTACATAAACTCACATAATTTCTGTTAAAACAACCGTTTTCTACTAGTTTCAAAGTTAATAAAATTCTCTATGCGTATCTGCTACTTTAGCAGAGTATATAATGTCGACACTAAAATCTGGCTGCTATCGAGAGCTGTTGTAGTTGTAACTTCGTTTATATTTATTGATCATGCCGGTTTAGGGAAAGTGGGTTATTTATTAGTGGGTTTGATACTTCTTCGTTAGATCATTGGATGAAGTGGTTCATAAAAAAACGTTGACCTTCATTGAACCGGACTTATTGTGTACATGTAGCTATGGTTCGTGTTCCCCGTCCGAGTCAATCAGTTTAGCGTTGGCTGTGTAAAAACGATGAGATAATTTGATTACATAATCATACTGTTTCGTAAATCATCATCACTGCACAGCATCACCAAGCCACTAAGCACCAGATATTAGCTATCAATTTCTAAATTTAATTGGCTCGATGAATATACAATTACTACGCATATGCATCTATCTTCCAAAAACAGCTCAACTTTCCCGGATTATCGCAAGATCGCTTTGTGATCAAGATCAAGCTGGCCGAGTTGATTATAACCTTACGGTAATTAGAAATTCTTTTTATTGTCATTGTATAGTATGATTCGAAATTTTATAAACAACCAGAGCACTGTAAACATTATTCATCCAATTACAGTAAGTGAATGTAAATACTGGTATGCATAAAAGTTTGGCTTTTTGACTATATGTGTTGTATATTTTCTCTTCACCCGTGTGAATTCCACGCACGTCGTTGTTGCTATGTGACACATATGTCAATCCGGCGAGATTTACATCACAATGATGGATTTACATACTAATACAGCATATGTACCGGAATTTTTATCAATCCGGTCGGACTTACATCGTTCATTTCAAAAAACACCTTTTTACGGGTAACGCAATGTATACGCATAATCTTGTGTTCATTTACTCGCAGCTAGTGAAACATACGATTGCACGCACGATCCGCCTAGGCTGGTCTGGGCGAAGGAACTTTTTTTGGTTTATAAAAAACCCATAATGTTATTACTTCACCCTTTGTAATAGAATTAATTGCTCGCCATTGCTTTAACTCTCTCTCACTCGTTCGATGTACGGCCAAACTGAAACTCTGGATTAATCCTAATGTCTAACTCTACACCTGTCGCAGACACAATTTCAGACGAAGACTCGAACAACCTTGATGGTGAGCAGTCTGTAGCAGAGATAGTGCGTAACTTTGATTGGGCGTCTACTCCATTGGGGCCTATGGACAGTTGGCCTCGCTGGTTGAAAATCTTAACTGTGAGTAATGAATGGTAAGAGCGAATTAAAAAATTAGTCAACATTCTTTGTATTAAACTAGGGTTCCGTTAATGCTTAGGATTTGTGTCTCAATGCCGTGTTTCCGATGGTGTTATTTATTGGGCATGATAGGATTTTTATATACAACCAGAGTAAGTGTGCGTAAAACAATAGCGAAAACCGGTTGCTTTGCTTTCTGTCTATCTGATCAACTACTTGTCTCTCTATTATTGTCAGTGTGGATACAGATCATTCAGGCAAATCATCCTTGTAAGTATACTGTATCATATGGATTTGCCCTACGCTACGTGTAATAACAAAATAACTGTAGGCATAGGGACATCGGCGACACACACATATTCTGAATTACGCGACGTTCTCGTACCGATATTTGAGTTGTATGTATGAACATCTGATCGAGTAATCAGAGAAACCGTCATATCTATTCTTGGGTGTTTTTCTGACATTGTCTGCGTTACAGAACTTTAAAAGGACAGGGCCAATATTCTGAAGATTGCTGCATGCCGCTTATTCGATCGGGTTATAAAGAAGAAGCATACTTTAGTTACAGTCACAGTCCGCTATATACTGACACTGGGGAAATAGGAGGAACGGTTGCCTTTGCGCACGAAACAACGAAAAGCGTACTAATGAACAGAAGGCTGGAAACGTTCAGGAAGCTGTCCAATGGAACGCAAGGCAATTATTTGAGCTGATTCCATTATGTCATATGTTGTGAAATTTCACTTGATCTTATACTCATACTTGTGCGTTATACAATTCACACACACAGGAATAACATCTGTTGAAAATTCTTGTCATTCTCTCACTAAAATTCTCCGAAACAATGCCGATATACCATATACTATCATTTATCTTGTGGAGAACCAGAACGACGATGGAGTTGCAAAAAGAGCTCGTTTAGAAGCCACAACATTTGATAATGATCTAGTGTGTGTCAAAAAAGCCGACGGAACTGAAGAGTATATGTATATACATGGACAATCTAGTAGAGATATACCTGACGATTTGTTAAAGACGCCCGATGTAATAGTCATGCCCGATTCCGAGGGTGATATTGTTCATTTGGATTCATATTCAACCAATGCTGTACCATGGCCAGTAGAACGCGCAATGTGCAGTAGCGGCAATGTAATTATACAGTTACCCGATGAATCACGAACCTTATTATGTCCAGTGACTTCAATTTCTGGTGGAAAAGACGTATTGACAGCCGTAATGATATGTGGTATCAATAAACATAGAGCGCTCGATAAGGATTATGAGGAATTTTTCCAGGTATGCTTATTGTAAGTTACGCGTTTGCATATATTTAGTTTTTATTGAAACTTTATTCTATTGACATAGCTCATCGTTAAGCATGTGAGTTTTGTTTTTACAAACGCTGTATTGCGGAAAGAAGAACAAAGACAAAGAAACATGCTGGCCGAATTGGATAGACAAAAAATTGCCTTTTTTGAAAATATCAGTCATTCATTACGAAGTATGTACGTTTACGAATCGAGACTTGTTTTTTTTTTACATCGACCTGTGATACCAACGACTTGCAATTATCCTGTAGGTCCGTTGACTCTTATGCTTTCACCTTTGGAAGAAGGAATAGAGCTATGTCCCAAAAAATCTCCAGTATTAAATTATCTCAAGTTAATTCAGAACAACTATCGAAGATTACTTAGCTTAATAAATAGCTTGCTTCAAGTAAGTAGTAGAGAACGTCGACGCTATATCGCATCTCGATCATAGAGTTTAACACCTGTTCTAAATCAGTTCGCTCACATAGAAGCAGGTCGAATTCACGCATGTTTTTGCGCCACGAACATTGCAAAGTTGACAGTAGAGTTGGCAGCCAGTTTCGAAAGTATGGCTAAAGCCCTTGGTCTATATTATAAGCTTGATATTCCTAGTGACGAAGAGCTCTGTCAAATAAATCAGAAAATGTTTTTAGATCAAGACATGTATGAAAAGATACTATTTAACCTATGTAAGCGATACAAATCAAGTAAAACTGACATGACGAGCTTTATGTTATTTTTTCTAACCAATTTGTCATTTTTTAGGTTCGAATGCATTTAATTATACACAGACTGGTGGGGTAACTGTTCGATTACTTGTAGAGAGAAACGGAAATAAAGAAGGGGTAGTCCTCGAAGTATCCGACACAGGTATAATCAAGCAATACATGAATTCAGAATGTCAATTTATTGAAAGCAAGCAATAATACTTATGGGTCATCAATCTTAGGTGTTGGCATCGCAGACAACCATCTTTCGAATATCTTCCAGCGCTTTTATCGTGTCGAGTCGCAACAATCACGTAGTCATTACGAAGGCACCGGGATTGGTCTTGCTCTCGTTAAAGAATTCGTCACACGGCATGGCGGCGAAATCTCTGTTAAATCCCAATTGAATGTTGGCTCTACTTTCCGCGTTTGGCTTCCTTCCGGATCTGATCATCTTCCCCGGAAACAAGTTTATTTGAAAAGCAAAAGAGATGAATCTAAACTCAATGCAGAATATCGAGAACAAATTAATTTGAATATAAACTTGTATTTGTACGAGTGTATGCAACGTGTACGAGAGTCAGAGTCTTCTAGTCCACAAACGTCCGAGGGAGATTATCAACATAGTCCGATGCAAATCGATTATGAAAGCTTGTCGTTTACCTCATCACCAAGAGCGGACGAGCGGTCAGCATTGCGTATGAAACCTAGTGACGTTGAATTTGAGGCTACAAGAAAATATATTCTAGTTGTCGATGATAATGCAGACATGAGGTATGTGCGTATGTGAATTCGCTTCATGTTATGTATTATAATACCAGACCGTAAACATTTATGGTAATATATTATAGAAACTATTTAAACACTTTGATCGAGAAGCAATTCGCTTGTATCTGTGCTGCTGATGGATATGAAGCACTTAAAATCGTAAGAAATTCACAGCGGTTGCCTGACCTAATTCTAAGCGGTGAGATTTTACTCCTAGTAAATAATGGAATGTAAATTACAAGACGTTTTTGTAGTAACTTTTTTTTGCTCAATAGATGTTATGATGCCAAACATGGACGGCTTTGAGTTACTGAAGGCACTTCGCGGTAATCCAGCAACACAGGCGATTCCGGTGATCTTACTATCAGCTCGATCGGGAGAAGCCAGTATTGAAGGTAAGGCATTGCGTGTGAAAGTTATTACCTTGAAATACGTTTCTCAACTTTTCTGTATTCGTAGGGTTGGAAAAGGGTGCAGATGACTATATCATTAAACCGTTTAATGCTCGCGAACTTATGGCTCGTATTCATGTGAATCTCAAACTTTCTCATGTCCGTCGTCAACTCATGGCAGAACAGCAGCATCAGCTTGAAATCAAGCAGTTGTTATTTACGATCAGCAACAAAATTCATTCCGGTTTTGGAATACAGGAAACACTTGACACGGCGGTCTCGGAAATAAAGAAGGTTTTGATATGTGATTCTTTACTGATAATACAGGATATTTCCGAGAACGAGAGTATTGGCGGTAAAGTGATGGCAGCTTCATTGTCTCCAATGGATAACAGTATAGAGATTGTTGGCCGCATATTCCATGAGGAACAGCAGCAAACTGAAACAACTACAGATTTTTCGCCGGCGACGAATCCTAGGCTTTTGCTTCATCACTGCGATGGGCATATAGAACCAGACTCGTTGTTAAGTGATATAACATCTTGTTCAGACTGTGAATCAAAAGTATTGAATCAACGCGTGTCCTTTCTCAGCGCCGCCATTTATTTAAAATCATCACCATGGGGCTGGATAATTGCTTACCGACAACCATATCACAAGTGGACAGAGTCCGAGACGAATTTTTTGCATCAGGTCTCAAACCAAATAAGTTTAGCCATCAGTCATGCCATCCTCGTCGAAAAGAAATTAAAGCAAGAGGCACAAGTAAAGGCCATCGAAGAGACTAACAGAACAAAGGGCCAGATATTGGCCGGTACATCTCACGGTAAGGAAGAAAGGTCTTGTTACCTCATGCCAGTCGATCACAAGTAAATAACGATCATAACTTTTTTTTTAACAATTAACAGAACTTCGTAACCTGTTAGGAACAATTACTGGAGCGCTTTCTGCTTTTGAAGGAACACAGCTTACAGCTGAACAACAAGATATGGTTGAAGTAATGTCCCGCGCATCCGATGTGGTTATGTCAGTAGTAAATGATATCCTAGATACAGCCAAGCTGGACGCGCAAAAGCTTACTTTGATAAACCGAGTCTTTGATTTATGGGCGCTTGTAGAGAAGACGGTGACAACGTTTGGTGAGCGTGTTGGCGCAAAGGAGCTTGAATTGATTGTTCTATACGACCCGGAGACTCTCTCGAGATATGTAAAAACGGATCCAGAGAGGTTACAACAAGTGATAATGAATCTGTTATCAAACGCGTAAGAATGTCACTCGTTTTGCTACACTTAATGAGCTTTCCGTGGATACGTTTCTAACGATTATTAAATTTATAGAATCAAATTCACAGATAATGGCGAAATTGTAATAAAACTATCAATAAGAAACGGCGAAGACATGATGGTGGATGATAACCCTGACTCGAACAAACTTTTATGTGTGGAAGTATCTGACACTGGCGTTGGGTAAGATGAGATGCTATTTCTGTTTCGTGCTTCTTCCGTCTTTACACCCCGCGTATCGTATCTCATGGTTTAATTAAAATTTAGTATTGATCCGGCATCGATTAAGCATATTTGGGAAAATTTTTCGCAAGGAGACGCTTCGATGACTCGAGGTCGAGATGGAACTGGTCTAGGTCTCTCTCTATGCAAAAGTCTAGTTGAACTAAATGGTGGTAAAATTGGAGTTGATAGTAAAATCGGCATAGGAAGCAAATTCTGGTTCACATGGATTATTGAGGATACATCATTGTCGTCAATACCAAAGCTACCGTCGCGGGATGATAGGTCCAACTTGCAAGGTCAGCCGAATCATGCTAGAAATGTTCTTATAATCGACCCTGTGGAAACAGCAAGATCAGCATACGCTACATTGATTAAGGGGAGTGTTGAAAAAGTATATACGTACGCAGATTGTACAAGAGCGCTAGAAGCGGCCAAAAAACACAAGAAGGACGGTGAGCATATGTGCGATTTGGCTTTTTTGAGCGTGAGAAATAATGACGCTGTCGAAATTGAGAACGCAGCCAAAGAGCTTAAACGTATTTATGGAAATGGGCTATCAATTGTATTGATGGTGTTTTGGTCAGTCGAAGGTCACAAGGTTGGAAAGAGTATGATCGAGAAACTAGGAACAAATGTCGCGGCTATCTGCAAACCAGTAACTCACAAGTGTATAATGGATTGTGTCTCCGATTTCGACATGTTTTTGGTCAAGCCTAAAGATGCAGATAGTAAAGAAATGGAAAGAACTAGTTTGTCGACGTACAGTAAATTCTACAATCATAATCGACCTGCGGTCTATCGTTCAGGGAAAAGAGATATAAAGGAACAAGTCATAGTTCGGGGCGTTATGCCATCCTCAAAAGATGAGAGCAAGTCCAAGTCCAAAATTGTCGGCACGCAGCTTGTTCCAATGAAGAGATCCGCTTATAGTGAATTGAAGGATCAATCGGGTAGCGAAGAAAGAGCACGCACGTCAAGGAGCAGGGTTTCTAAATGTATTCTCTGCGTGGTAATTATTCATCATTTCTGTTATTGACTTTTGACGTCAAATATTTGTTGTGTTATCTAAACAAGTTTATTTGTTTATAATAATACTAGGATGATAATGCGATCAACCTCAAAGTATGTTTTTAGTTAATGACTTCCTGCTGCTGTTTAATAAGAAATAATCTGATTATTGTTATTTGTCTAGATCGTCAAAACCCAGTTGGATAAATTAGGTTATACTTATTTAACGGCAGCAAACGGAAAAGAAGCTGTGGACTTGATACGAACGCAGTATGAGAACAGCCAAACCAGCAGCATGGATAGTTCTCAGTCGTTAGAGTTCAAACTGGGGATATCGTTGATTTTGATGGACTGTGCTATGGTAAGGCAATTGATGGTATATACAGTTGATGATGTTTTAAAAGGTATATTAATCGTTCTCGTTACGTATATCCTAAAACTTAGCCCGTTATGTCAGGATTTGAAGCAACACGAGCAATCAGATCGATAAATCCAGAATTTCAAACGCTTCCAATCGTTGCGTTGACCGCATGCGCAATAGCAGAGATACGCGAACAATGTCTGGAGGCGGGTATGAATGACTATCTAACCAAACCGCTCAGGATAAAACAATTGAAGGAGAAGCTGAATGAGTGGTTGGGTGAGAATTAATTTTATCATATTACGCACTATATATGGTCTAATCTATAATTTGTATTGTACAATAAGATGTAGGATTACATGCTATACACATATGACAATTTAGTCTACTATATACTGTAAGTTAACGCAAACATTGTATTATATCAGATATTGGGGTCAGAATTTGACTTTAACGTAATCAGGTTTATTTAATGACATTGATAACTGTGAAGCTACTTTGTAGTTTCAACGAATACAAAGACGATAAAAAATTGTTTCCCAAATAAGATAATTCAAAAAAGGAGTTCACCGAAAACATTGATGGGTCATGCATTCGGGACAAGTAGTTCTTTTTCTTCATTAAAAACAATTTTTTATTTTGTAAATCTTCTCAGAACCCATTTTATTTAGTGCGTGTGTGCAGTGCCATTTCTTCGTTCACCGAACCTATTATTATCCTATCCCTAATCGCCGACTTGCTGGGCATTTTCTGAAATGTTTCAAGACATTGAAATTTCTTTGTATGTGGAAATAATTTTCGGGCGCGCCCAACCAGTTTGCATATAACAATAGTATCACGTCTGACACGGTTTTCACGGCTGCAAGTCATGAAGTGCGGCCTTCTTCAGTCTCAGAGCGGGAGGGCGAAAGTAAAAAGCTTTCAATAATTGATAAGCCGAAGATCAGGAGACCGTGAGTGTTGTTGTGTGGGAAATACAGGTATGTGAAAGGTGTGGGAGGTGACCGACGGCTCAAATGTCGCAGAGCACACGAAAGCGTGGATAAAATAAAATTGGAGAAGAGTATCACCTCGTGTCTGCACAAATAAACCGGCGTGATCTTGATGCACTCACGACGTTGTGAGTCGCGTTATACATTAAGCAATCAGATGACCACGTTCAAAGTCGTATGTCATGTCATTGAGGGCCGAAAAATAGAGACTAGCGTTTCTCCGTCTTCTCGGCTGTAATTTGGTCGATGGGTTTCAACTATTGTTTTTTTGCTTTTGATGTTTGTATGTACTAATAGGACTTACTCGAATGAAACGATTTTTATAACTTGTTCGATTCCTCACAAATCGCGTGCCAAATTTGTAACGGTAAACAAATTTTTATTATTGCTGATGCTAATGTTAACTATTCGAAGCAATTTCGACATAACTGTCAATGCAAGCATTCTAATATTACTTTAGTTTGCCAGCTTTCATTATAAATATTTTATCAATGCCTCATAATTTTATTATTTATGTTAAGTCTCATATTTACATAGTAATATTTGTAACATACCAAATGTTAACATGTCTGTCAGTGTAATAATGATAGTAAGTAATAACATAGAGGAGATATATGTATGCTTGAAGTTTCAAGGTCTTCATTCGGCGCACTTGGGTAACCTCTATCTATTGTATGATACTGTATGTATGCTTGAATACCTTGAGATAGTTATATTGATATATGTTAATTTACTTATATTGTTTTGAAGCCAGTATAGAAGAAATGAGGTTTAATATTATGTATCTTAATTAAATATTAATAAATAGCTTAGGCAATTTACGCTTAGAAACGTTAAAATAATAATTATCATTACATTTTTTTATTTGCATTTGGACTAGAAACAAAGTTAGAGTTGACCGTGGCTGCCATAATTGGACTGGTTGGCTAGTTAAAATCAAGAAGATGTTTACTTATAAAAAACAATAAATATATATTTTTTTTTATCACATAACATTACACGTAGCTCTCCTCATATTAAATAATAAAAATGCGGTACATTCTAAAATATAAGAAAAATTGTGCATAATAAAGATGTCATTCAGAAAAACAGGTGTTCTGATTATTGGAGACTATCCGCAAATGTTCTCTACCACTCAAACGCTATTTCCAATTTTTACTTTTCTACATACTTCGTGCTAATAGTAAGTAAAATCTTACTATTGTCGTTACTATTCATCATTCCAACACTTCTCACTATTGCTTCCAAAAATTAACCCATCACTTGTTATTATAACTAATCTTTGCAGTTTAAATGTATTAGACTTCTATTGTAATTGCTTTTGCGCTGAGACAAATCCCGAAAAATCTAGTTCCTTTCACTCATTCCGTACAGGTTGCTCGTCATTGATCCATTTTTCTGGTAACCCCTTGTGCAAAGAAATGCGAGCGATGACCTTCTTTATTATAACATTAATGAATGTCTAATTGTTTTTGTTATTACAATATTTGAAGAATGGCATCGAGAGCTACAAGCGACACCTGCTTTCCTACATGTCGCGCCCTGCTAGTATGCAGCCTGACTTGCAATTATTTTTTAGTGTTTACGTAATAGTATGACGCTATTAGGGAAGATTAGGTGATAAATTTCGAGAGGTAGACATGATGGACCAATGACAATCAACCTGCTTCAGATCGGCAGATTATCGACATCCGAACAATGTATAAGTCTAGACTAATGTTAGGGAATCCTCAAACGGAACTCCAATCGTCGATTCACAATACAATACAATTCATCTTGCGCTTAATATGGGTGTCCATCATGTTAATAAAGAAGTTACGCTTCATCCATTCGCACAAAAGAGTATGCGCAATTTCTCGTGCTTTGTGTTGTTATTGTGACCGATTACGCTTGAAAATTTTCTTTTCGAAGAAATACCACTTTGCTCAAAGATTGCCGAAATTCAACATTTACGCTTCATGCTGATGATACTCGATCCTCACCAGCCATCAAAAACTACACTCCGACAGATTCTCCTAAAAAAGATCGCAACATTTAACAAAATATAAAAATAAACCAACGAGAATTTATGTAACAGCGCTAATATTTGCAGCCGATTATTTATTATACATTTTCATTTTACAAAACTCATTACATTTGCCATTACTATGATTAATATTGGTCATGAAAACGAAGAGGCAAAGCCTCTTAACTATTTTGTTACTCTAGCTAATATTCTAAACTTGACAAATAGCGTACCACAGAAAGTGCCATGGTAAATTTACGCATTTATGTTCTAACACATTAGCTTTTAGTATCTCTTGGGTAGGTGTGTTTATCATACTGAAGTGAATAGGCGTACGTTCATGTTCATAGGAGAATTATATAAATTATTTCAATATCCATCTATATCTACTAAATTCGTACCACGCAGAGTCGATTGTTATTATTATTGTATGGCACAAATTCTGGTTTGTCCATTGGTTTCGGTACGTAGCACACATTATGTCATTTGCAAGCGGTTTTCAACGTTTGAATCTTTACATAAGACAATAAAGTCATATAAAATCGAATCTTTACATAAGAGTATTCAGCGATGGCAGAAGCATGGGTAATATGTCTGTGAATGATTACTTAAGCGTTGGAATTCGTAATTCAATGTGACTAATGAACCAACATAACATTATTAGGAAATCGGACAGCAATCATCTTCAACCTCAAACAGAGAAAAAGGCAAACTAAAGCAGATAGAGGATGCAGAACTTGGAGACATGGCTAATAGTGACTTGATTACCTTTGATTGTGATGAGGATGACAACCGGCTGTTATTTGCCAACGCAATTATTGATAATGAGCATCTGAATGCAACACGGATAAGAGAGCAGTTGAAGATATTACTAGAGTCAATCACCAAGAACAACTACAGAAAATATCATTTTGCCAAATTGTACAGTCTGTTATCATCAGCTGAAGCTAAGTTTGATGCTGATCAATTGGAAAATGTGTTGCAGACAATTGGGACTGACATTGTCTCATACAGCAGTCATCAAGAAACAACTAGCATGGAATTAGAGCTTCATCTTAGAACATATGTGTTAGCTTTGGAAGCTTATGGCAAGAGACCTCTCAGGATGAGAAGAGAATTCCGTGAGGCTTTATATGGTCAAATTGCAAAGTTGTATGATGTTCATCTGCATCATATAAGGGTGCTAGAACAGGGTTTAAATGAGAATAATACAGGACAAAGTTCACATCCTGTATTGAAGAAAGGCATCAAAATCCAGAACTACAATATTGATTTCTTAATTGTACACCTTCGTGACACTCTTTATGTAATGAATGATGATGATAATAATGATGATGAGACAAGATGGTTTAAAGTTATTAATTGGTTAAAGACTTTGTTTCTCACATTAGTTGAGCTTTTACCAGATACTACAGAGGTTATTGCAAATGTGGAAACTCCAATTGACAATAGCACCACTTACTACAAATTTGACAATACTTTGAAGACTAAGCTACCTGCCAACTACTGGTATAAGGACTGGAGATATTTATATTGCATGTATCAGGCATTTTTTGAATGGTCACTCATTCCCATTAACAGAGATTTGATTAGCAAAGGTGAATTAATGATTATTAAAGATTTGTGGAGATTTGGGGACCAGGAATGGACCAGAGCAATTACAAAATTAGAATCTGAGACTGGTAGGTTTATGCTTAAACTAAAACACACATTGGATTGTACAAGTAACTATGCTCCTGAATCATATCCATACTCATTATTGTATGGTGTATTAGAAATTGTTCAAAATCTGGTCATGTATACAAAAAATAGCAGCACCTTGGCTCATTGCTACTATCTTGCAAAACAATCTCTTGACATAGTGACAACAAATTATATTCAATTTAAAGCAGTAGAAGTCTTACAGCTGATTCATGAAAAGGATCCAGAAACTTTTGCAGTTGTACAAGTTGATCTAGATCCACATATTGAAACTCTTTCAAATTTGGACCAGGTCTATGAAAACTTTCATAATATTAGGAATTACATTGACAATAAGCACAAGTATATTAGCCATATAATTGGCAGAACAATCTCTGAAATGCCACAGAAAAAGGAATTGTCAGACCAAACACCTGAGGAACTACTACTTACTTCAAATCCAAATGATTTACTAATTTTAGATATGGTTGCTGATCATCTTACTTGTCCATTTACACAAGAAGTGACAGATGATTTCAGAATACTACCATGTAAACACAAGATTAGTCATTTGGCATTGGAAAAATTCATGAAATTGAACTACCAAGAATTA